TGTTGAAATTAAAAAAAAAGGCTGCTCCAAGATGGCGGACAAGATTTGGTTCGATTCCATTCATAATTGGTAAGTGGGGGTTTTTGAGGTCGGAGATCATGTTTTATTTGTTGAAATTTATAAATGCAAGATGGCGGCTTCCAAATAATTTTTTGTTTTTGTATAAATGACGATAACTCCGTTGTTATCAACACAAAACTATTACTGCGACATATCATCTGTGAGAGAAAAAAAAGTTATTTGTAACTAAGTCATAGTGAGCTATGACCTTCATTTGAAAAACTAAAGTTGGTGCTGATATCTCAAATATCAGAAGAGTTGGTATAAATTTCATATTCTTCTCGAAATCATTTTGGAAAACTGCCATGAGAATGTGAAATTCCTATTCGAATATTTTCATAAATAAAGAAGTTACGGAGGAGACATGAAAATGATCTAAATCTGTTTTTTGCGTATAAAACAAAAACGAATAGATTTTATCAAAATATTTTTTTACATTATAGTTGGCCTTGACAAACTCCACATTTGGTGTCATTTACCGACCTCGTATCTCTCACCGTTAAGAAGATACCCATGGTGAGCATGGTAAGTGGGACACACTGTATGTTTATTTTTATTTCCACAATCTCTATTAGGGCTATCAATCACAGAGCCGATCTTTGCGTAACGTATGTTTTTCTGCTAGGGGCTCAGAAATAACAATTGACTTTTTTTGTATCACCACGCGCCTGTAAACTCTACGTGTACAAGTACGGTATATGCGCTCTACAAAATTCATATTAGGTATACGAGGTGAAAATCTACAACATTTATAGATTTCCCATTGTCTACTCACCTATAGTCCCTAGGAATCATTACGTTTCGCAGGAAATGATTCATGAAGAAATCGCTAACTAAATCACTCATGATAGTTGAATTTGTCTTTTGTATTATAGAAACAAATTCTTTTTCGAATTATTATCGATTTCAGTCGATCCAAACGTGCATTCTTTATTTAAATTCTTCAACTTTATCCACACTGAACTTCAGGTTACCCACCAGGTCATATATTTCGCCACTTCCCAGCCAACCATGAGATGTATAAGTGATATGCGATATCGCATTTGAAGTCACAAACATGTTACCGATACAACGTGGCGATGTGAAAATGTCCGACTCAAACAACATCACTGTGACGTCGTTCAGACATAAAATGCGACATCACATGAAAAATCACTACCAGGTCACATACAAGTGTACATTTCATATTACAAATATATCACACTGCGACATCGATGATGTGGTCGCCGTACCTGTGATATTCGTGGGATATATAATAATAATAATTATTCAACTTCACGAAGAAAATGTTTATTTTCCGAAAGTAAAAACAGATGATACAAAAATTATCATGACAATCACCCTAATTATAAGTAATCTTGAAGTAAAACATGACACATATATATATATAGCAATACAAATATACATTATTCATAAATGATACATACCTAATACACTTATATTATCTTGGGATCTTTCATCCACCTTGTTTTAGATTGCAATATTTCTATCTCAGAGATAATTACAATATTACCTATTGTGATTGAACTCACCGTCGTTCCTAAATGATTGTATACCTCCGATTTGAAGCTGCTATAATATGTGCTATAAATCATCTCAGATATTTCAACAGAGAATTTGGAAGGAAATAGTCTGTACGGAGTCGGACTCACTCACAGACTGACTGACTGACTGACATGGCCATGCACAGCTCAACATGGCGTCTGGCGTGTGCGTTCGTTTTGCGCATGTCTGCGTCATACTCACAGGTCACAAAGATATCTCATGAGGATATCAATGTGAATTATTTAGTTAACGTCGAAGAGATGTAGTTTGAAGAAGTCGCTGCCACATTACATAGTTTCCTGGTTGCGATGTCACCTTGCGACGTTGATATCGAATCTACGTCGATAAGATGTGTTAACGAGATATTGCATTTATGCAAGATTGTTACATCACACAGATGTTGATGTGACACGATGGTTGGCTGGGTTACTATTTGGCAGATTATCATTATTTTTTTTTGTGTCGTGATTAATTTTGCCACTAGCAAAAACTAGTTTTCATATGGATTCCTCTTGGATCGGGGGGTTTTCTAGTTTAGGCTCGCGGTAATAAATTAGTGGCGCCCATATACTTTCGTATACGCGAGATTCACGATGTGGACGACATTTAGGTTACATAATACGAACTTCAAACTGGGGGAAAACAAACTGTCTATGGATAAAGTGCATAGACTACATTGCATTCAGCTTGCTGTAGCTGTAGTCAAACTTGTCAATGACATAAAGTGTTGGCACTGTTGGTAATGATGATGGTTGAGTTGGTTAATTTTTTCACATTATTACATTTTTATTAGTTTAGTGAACAGTGAATGGGTGAAGAATTGGATATAGTTCAAACAATTCAAACTAATTATGACGAGCAAATCAATTGACATATAAAAGAACAGCTACAACATGTTTACAATACCCAGATTGTCCTGCTTTGCAGAAAAAAATACAAATCCATTGTTCTACAGGAGTTCCTCTGATTTCATCGCCGAAGTTTGTAGACAAAGTGCAAAAATGTGCCTTTTGTTAAAGTCTTCTGCCTCACACAAAATCACATGATTAGCACGGAGAACTGCTTCTCCTTCCACTACTGGTCGGCTTTTTCAATCTAAATAGAGCAAAATATCTGCCAAAAGAACATCTACAACAGGCATTATTAGCGTTTTCGATCGAATATTGACAATTAATGTCAAAAAATTTAAAAACTTTGACGTGGCTTTGACATGGAACGATGAAAACCGAGCGCCACCTGGTAACATTGATTCCCGCAAATATCATATGCTTATACAGGCTGATTTCAAAATGAGTGCATATATTCAAGACATATATATGAGAGAGTCTAACAAAAATTACAAAAATATTTGATTTTTCCTAAGTCTTCACATTAACGAGAAATTTCATTTTGAAAATTGAACATAAAATGCTTCGAAATTCGAGTACGCCACTGGGAAGCAAGTGAAATCTGCGGAATCCTAGGGAATCCACAATTCGTCATTCACTAAAGTCATAACAAGACAGTGATGCCAGATTGTTTCAGAGACGAATATCCTGATAAAAATTTGTCACAGAATGAACAAGAATTGAAATAGGTTATGGAAACTAATAGAGGTGAATGTAATATGTACAGGAGCCTCATTTTTTAAAGTTTACTGAGAGAACTGTGGGGTGATTATCTCCATGGATCACGAGAGACAGAGAGAAACATGAGGGGAATGATAGAACGTCCCCCTTCCTTCAATTCAAAAATAAGGCCCCAGCGGGTAGATACAAAATTAGCAGACAATAAATAGGTAGGTACACAACATACACAAAGTTGAAAATCGACTCACCTAGTAGATTTTCTCATACCTGCTCGAACAGCAAAACTCCCGAGAGCAAACAAATACTAATATCGAGTCCATTCCATCCAATTATTTTATTTTTTATTTAACGTTTACAATTATTTTACAAACCAGCCCACACAAACAAAACTATTATTATTAATCTGTCAACATCATTTCTCAAAACAGCAGTATCTGACTATCTGTGACCATAGATTTCCTCTTTGCTGTGACCTTTGACAGTACTAACTAGGATTGTTCGCGTTCTATTACTATTTCACGAAGATTGTTACGATATTACGATTTGTCATGAATCTATTACTATTTGCTATTAGCACCAAAATATGTTCCAATACTAAAAAATCTATTTCTGTGCTCAGCGGATAATTATGTTCCGTTCTATGTTCTATATTTATGTCAAAACTGTGATTAGTGCGATAGGGTTTGACAAGAATGACATTCCGAATGTCAAATGTCAGATTTTTCGAGTCTATTACCTTTTGATACAAATCTGATACCTTTTTCCAAAGAAATTTATTACGAAAAAATCAGACCCAGGAACAACACTGACTAGTAAATGTAAAGTTTTGCTTCTGACAATTTGCTTGGAAAGTGACGATGCATTTCTCAAACATTGAGCTGAATGATATGGTTCTTATGTCGGGTCGTTATTGTGCGGGGCCCATGAGACTCCTCGAATGACACGAAATTGTAGCGATGCAAGGAGGTGGAAGGAAGGGTCTAAAGGATTTTACAGTAAAAGAACTTCCAAGGGGAGGTGTTAAGATATAAGCTTTTCTAGCTTATGTGTACAAATCTTGGGTGAGTCCATTTTGAAGTTTTTGTATTATCTTTCTGAAATTCAAGACCAGGGTTAACTTCTTCCCCATGTACATTTTCTCGATTATACATTTTATTTAATATCTCCTAATTGTCATGCAGAGTGGCAATGTCGCTTCGTTCATCACGGTCGACTGCGGATCGCAAACGATAGTTGTGACAGAAGTAGAAATCTGGGCGGAAAAAGGGTATTTTGCCCCAAATCTATTTTGATCCTAATAATATTTTTTATAGTGCTATTCGGTAGTATACCTCAAGCTTTCTTAGTGTTTAAAATATATGCACTTATTTTAAAATCAGCCTGTATATAAAAAAAATAATCCCCCCCCCCAACTCTAGGTATTGAGCAGGGGACAATCTTACCTTTATGCTACGCATTCCGCAGTCCATAGGTTTTTGACAGGTAAAAAGACGTCCGAGAAGACGTCGCATACCTTTACTGGCGGAATAAATGAAAACCGTGCATAAAGAGCTAGTTACTGATGAGGCTGTATCTCGTGTGTTCTTCCCTACTTTCTATAGTGGTCGTAGGGAAACATTAATTAAATTGTCAGTGATATTTTATTTGATGTTACATGCCTGTCAGATCGATGATTAAGACGTTGACCATTCAGATTTCACGTTGCCGTGTGTTGCCGTGGTAATTTCATTAAAGAAACGCTCGTTTTCGGAAGCTGGTATTGAACACACTGAGGCATTCTTTAAATTAGCAAAATAGAGTACCAATAAAACAAAAATAAATACCTACCTTGATGACTATCATTGATATTATTGGTGTCTTTGGATTTTGAACTCGATGAATTTACAGTGCTTGGCTGGTTTGACTTAAACAGTTTGTCAGGTCGACTCAACCAAGCAGTTCCATTTTCGTCATTGTCAGCAGGCTTACGATTTTTGCCAGGAGTCTGTAATAATTGAAAACAATTTCACTTTTCAGTTCTATGGGTAGGTACTAGGGCTGCGCGATATTAGATTTCATATACCTATCGATTATCGATAACTCAAAACATCTCCATAACTTCGATATATCGACATTTGACCGGAAATGAGCTCAACTTTCGATTTTTAAATGGGACACCCTGTATCAATTACTGATTTCGATCGAGAATGAGATTCTGAATCCAACAATACCCCGCTTGACATTATTTCAATTTCTATTTATCGAGCTAGAAACGCCATGGATCATGTAAATTGCTGCACTCTTGATCAAATAACATGAAAAAAAAAATGATATTGAGGCTTATGACATCAGAGTCGTTTTAAGAATCATTTAAAAGCCGCTAATATGATTCTTCCTAGTTAGGTATCTTGATTTTTTCAAATGGAAACGGGGTGGCTCGGTGCCTTTTTGTGAAAGATAATTTTCTTATGAATAAGTTGATACCACACACTTCCACTTCATTTTCATTATTTTTCTGAATAATTGCAAAAAGCAATCATACCTACTTACAAATAATACTCATTCGGTATACTTCGAGGGGTCAACCAATATGTCCAATATATGTGTACACTTGGTGTCCAATCTCGATGTAATCCGTCCAATCCGAGGTCCAATCTTAGGCCAATATTCCTATTACTCCTCGGTATACTTATGCATGCAAAAATTACTGTATACAGTCTGTCCAAGATAAGGTTGAACAGCATGGGGATCTCGGAAACAGTAGGATATACGAAGTCGTTTAAATAATGGGGAAAAAGTTGCGCATTCGGAGGCTCATATCAAGAGAGTTGTATCGAAAAAAGTGAATTTTTGGAATATCTATTTAATTTTTTTTCTCCGTTATTATTAGAGATACAGAAGAAATGAAAATACTTTTTCGTAGCAACTTTTGATGACGTTTAACGTGGTGATACCGATTTTTTTATGCGACGTTTCGTATCCGTAGAACCATCATCAACTTTTGTTTTTTAAATACGGTCCTGCTAATTTTTTCACAGATTCTGAAAGGTTTTTTCATTCTGAATTCAACCATGTATTATTTTTGCAATTATTCAGAAAAATAGTGAAAATAATAAAATATTTTTTCCATGTTATTTGATTAAATTTCAGAAAAATCCGTTTACGAATGCAGCTACAGGGGTGGCCCGATAACCTGTGTAACCCGGTATGATGAGTTTTTATATTTTCATCAAAAACTGACCAAAACTGAAATGAGATCATAATCATAAAGCGAAATAATGGTGATATACAGGGTGTTTCATTGAAAAAATATCGTCCCTATTCGTTCCATAAACAAAATAGCTCTAAAAAAGAATACAACCAAGTATTTTCCTAATTTATGTAACTCCAACAAGCAAAATGGTATTATTTATACATACCTGATTTTTTTTATAGGGCGACATGATTATCCCATTCAACAATCACTTCTAGTGTATGTCTAAGGCCGAGAATTCCTATAAAAATAATTCGAAAATTAATACAATCTTCGGCTGGTTTGTTATTGAGTTAGTTCATTCTCGTAGATAGCAAACACTCTGTACATAACAAACATTTTCTTCAAGATGAATATTGCTACCTACCTACTCCTCCATATTATATAAAGTGCTCAAAGAAACAAGTGGACCACTGAAATATTTGACAATTCTCAAACTGCCATACCTTTATAGAAAATGAATGGATTTTCAATCGGAATGCAGTGCTGAAAGATGCGATCTTTCTGTTCAAGATTCCTCGTTCAAAACTCGTCGGAAGTTCTTCTGTCATTATACACCAAGTGTTCGAAAAAAGTATTACACAATTGAACAAATTCAAACGCTTCCGTATTCCAGGGATTTTTTTTTATTTTTCTATTAATCGTTTTTTCCGAACGTTCAAGCCACTATCCCGAAACGGTTTTGTAATTTTCCATATTCCTCATACAGGAAGTTGAAAATCGATGATTTTTCATTTTCAGGTTTTTATCGCATCATTTCCGATTTTAAAATTATGCAAGGCACATTCAACGTATTTTGCCACTCTATACGATGGAACACATCCTATAAAATGGATTCATATTGCTTTGATATCATCGACAACTTTAACATAAGAAGAATTAATTTTTTTTCAGAAATGCTCAGAATTTGGTGGAATCGTCTGTTCACTTTGGTGCTACTGCTACTATAACCTTATGCTATGCTAAACAAAAATCCTTCATTTGGATCGATTGCTGTGCTCAGTGCTCAGTATGTCGAATTGATTTCGTGAGTTTTCACATAAGACAATAAAAGGGGGCGCAAGAAGGCCCTTCTGGATTTTTCTGACCAATTCATACAATAACGATGCTACAATGGTTTTGAGATATTCCTGAGCTGACATGAAGTTAAGAAACCTATTTATTACAAGGTTTTTCATCGCGTGATCGGAAATCAATCGAAAAAGTCGATTTCCTGTAATCAACACTCATTTACGCAACTAATACCAATAATAATCTTTTGATAAAAGATCAAAATTATGTTAAAAAGTGATTTTGGTCACCACAATTCATGAATCCATAAAAAATATTCCAGCAATTAAATATCAACAAATTCCACCTGAACAAGTAACAAATCCAATCTTCATGTTCTGTCTCCAGAATTTCATAATCATTTTCATTTGTTAAGTTGAAAGTTTGCAAACTAAAATATTCTCAATTCTTGATTTGAATGATAGATGTAAATGTATAAACCCTCAGAGATGTTTCCTTGTATTCAACTTTCGAAGTTCATAGTTGTTGAGGGAATCATGGAATCTATAAACCAAACATATATGGCCTACCTAGTCACTTCATAGTTCACATGTTGTTCAGATAAAAATAACTATATTTTACTTACCTACTTTCCCAATTTTCCACACAAACAAAATGATCTCTACAGATACAGTACTGAACAGATCCTAATGCAACAACAAAAAACAAAACAAAATTTATAATATATATAGTATCTGTCTGGGCTCTGGGCGTGGGAAATTCACTGATTATTCGCTGGGGTTCACCGAGCAACAAGCAACAAACGATAGGCTAGATCTAGATAGTAGATGCAGCTAAAAGATTAAGCTCAAGGCACGAATCCGTTTTGCCCAAACATATGCGTAGTTCATTCCTATAGACCAATCAGAATAATCCAAAAGGAGCGCCTGCGTGTTGACAACACTTGACAAACGTCCATAGAACATTGCCATAGAATCGGTCCACGGTACAAGGTGTTTCTCCACTGGGTATGTATTTACTTCTGTTTAACACATGCGAGTAAGTAGGAAACATATACATTTAGTGCAGTAACACTCCACCAGCTCCTGCCAATGGGATTCGTTAAGCGGGGTTCACAACCAAACTTTTTACGTTTTGCTTTTTACGTTTCGTATTCTGATTGATGATGAACTCATGTTGATGCAATAATGTTGAAGCAATTACTGAAACGGACGTTCAGCAATATTGCAAAGATGTAACGTTGCAGCAATATTACATGTTTCTGTGACATTTCTGGAACGTTACATTTACACATTTACATTCGCAATATTGCTGAACGCCCGTTTCAGTGATTGCTACAACCTTGCATCAACTTAGCTCCCAAATTTGCTTAGTGGACTAATCCTTGTGTATATCGATAGTACCAACTTTCGCTTCAATTAGTCCAAGTGCCAGCTGCAAATTTCGACCTTCATCTGATAACGAAATGATATATGTTCCAAAGGCATGTAAAAACATTGTAGTTTATCCGAGAGTTTATCGAACGGCACCTGTGCCATTCACTATCCTGAGCAAAATGATTGAAAAATTGCACTTTCTTGTGCGGAAATTTGCACTCGATTTCGCGATTTGATAATGGGATAAGAGTTATGCCATCCGATACCAATTGAATGATAGAAATCAAAAACCTACCTGTGCATGCCATCCCTCAGTCTGAGCCAAGTCCACGGCGCAGCGATTTATTTGCTGCTATTATTCCGGACATACTTCCGTCATGTGATAACGAGTTGAAACAAGAAGCAAATAAAAGGGGATGATGTCACCTTTGCGAATATCCAAACGCGCCGCGAATAAAACTGATCTTATTGAGCGGAATTGAAGCAGCAAGCGGTAGTATGTCAACCGATGTATATTTCCAGGAAAAATAGTATCATGAGTTGTATTCCTATGAGTATTCCATGATTGAGATAATAAACGAGCAGATTGCGAAAATTGAGCTCTTTTCTATCTAGAACGAGAGAGAGGAAAGTTCTCTCCTCTTCCATCTCTCTCTGCAATGCTACCAACGTGGCCGCATTGAAATATAGAGAGGTCCGATAAATCATTCCTTGTCTAACATCTACTTTGTGCCACTGAACTATTTTCCAATTCAGCAGAGTGTCAAATTTATCGATATCAAGAAATTATTTCAAAATAAGTGTGATATAAATCAAAATTTCATTTCGAAAATTCTAAATGTCATCAGTCAATGACATTCATGACATAGACATATCACGTCATTATAATATCGAAAATAGTTCAGTGGCGCAGACTAGAGGTTAGACAAGGAAAGATTTATCGGACCTCTCTATATTTCAATGCGGCCACGTTGGTAGCATTGAAGAGAAAGAAAAGATAGAAGAGGGGAGAACTTTCCTCTCTCTCGTTCAAGGTAGAAAAGAGCTCAATTGCGCACATTGCATTCATTATTCTGCCTTTCAACAAAATTGACGTTTTAAACGTCCAAAATTTTATCGCTGAAAAACGAGGAAGATTGGTCACGTGTGGATCAATTCGGCTTCTGTATTGGTAGAGCCCACATAAAGACGCACACGATGACCCTCGATCATAAGGGATTCCCATTCGTTCGCTCGCAGAGATAAAAAAAAAACAGATAGTGAATGTTTTCAGGGTACATATTATTTTACATAGTTTATATATATATTTGAAACAAAGAAAGTGAGCCAGATTAGATCACATAATTACTGATGCAGTTATTGTTTCCATTGTTGCATATAATAATAAATAGATAAAGTAGTATATCAGTAGATAATCAAAATTGATGAAGTATTTGTGGGAAATATTCCATATCTGTTTTTTTTTATTTCTCCGAGTGCACAAATAGGAATCCCTATTATGATCGAGGAAGATCGTGCGTCTTTATTATAAATGATTATTATACTACGAACTACCTACATAGGACTTTCTTAAAACCACCAAAATTTCATTCAACATGCCTGGGTCCGAAAGTTCTTCCCTATAGCCTTATTATCACCTCCATATTTGGGCCATTGAGAATGTACAAGGTGGGCCAAAAGAAGTCATCCGATGTTGTTTGGCTCTCATTTTTTTTCTAAATGAAAAGCTTCGATTCTGTTTTTTGATTATTTCTATTTCAACCTTCAGAATTTTATTGGTCAAGTCGAGAAGATGATATCGGCCAAATGGGCGCCGCCACGATTGTTTGCTATAGGGGCTCGTTTTATGCATTTTTCATCACTTCGGCGAGAACTTCGGGCGTCAGATTGTCGCACTCGTGTCGAATGTTGTGCTTGACGGCTTCCAGCAGGGCCTACTCTATCTCACCCTTCCAGGGTCTCGGGCTTGTTCACGTAAACACGGAACTTCAAAAACAAACACCAAAAAGGTCTGGAACGGTTAAATCGGGAGATCTTGCGGGACAGTGCAAATCGTCAAAACGAGAGATGAGGCGATCCGGGAACGCCGCCTTCAGAATATCGGTTATGTGTGCCGTTGCTCCGTTCTGTTGGAACTACATGCCCTCCAGTCCTAATTCGTTCAATTGCAGCAGAAAAAACTCGATTAATATGGCCCTATAGCGCGCACCGTCCACTGTTGTCGTTTGACAGGCGCGTTCGTCGAAAAAAATGGCCCGATGACTCCTCCAGAGTGAACAGCGCACCATGCAGTCACTTTGAGCGGGTGTAATGGCTCCTTTTGCATCACTCATAGATTTTTGGTGCCCCAGAAGCGATAGTTCTGCTTTTTCACGTCCCCGCTGAGGTGGAAATGAGCCTCGTGGTCGAAAAATCGTCCACAAGATTGAGGATGGCTTGGCTTGGATTATTCCGCGTTCTTGGGGAGTGTATCGCTCCATGGCTTGTTCACTTGTATTCTACATCTGTCTAGTTCACGAATGTCAAAACAGATTTGACATTGACCGCCATTTGCAAAAATAAGAGCTACTTCCAATAGGGTGATTTCTTTTGGCCCACCTAGTATATCTCAGACACCGTTTGATGGATAGAGAAGGTTCACATTCAGGCGGAACTTCATGTAGCGGTCACAAAAGCGGCGGCCGGTTTCGAGTCTTTACGAGGGTCACTTGGAATGCCATGCTCATATTCCAGTGAGAGGCTTCGCTACGGGGTTCAATGAAAATGCAATGTGAATTATACATAATTTTTTTTATAATGAATATTAGCATAGAAGGTCCGTTCACGAGATATTTTGTATCAAGAATAAAACATTTATAATATTGTTATTATATCTCCATTGTTTACAACTTATGAAGAAGAACAAGAACAATTTGTGATCTTAATAACAAACTAATTGCCGCTATTATTACGAAGGTTCCTGTCTCGATATTTCTCAGGAGAGCGACTCAAAGAAAACGGTGCTGTTTATTTTGGCTGTATCATTGGCATTCATGATGTTTCATTTTATTTCAATATAAATTTTCACAATGAGGTAGATAAGTCAATGTAGAAAAGTGAAGCATACTACTTATTAATATTCAATTAAGAGAAAGCCAGAATGCTTTTTATTATTATTTAATTTCACGTGTTTTGTTTTAATAAAATATTAAATAATTTAGGCCCTTTCCTGAAAGCAATTACAGGTCCTTAACTTTTAACAAAATGAATAGTTGTTTTTCAAGAAGAAGTAACATGACAGAATTTTTCACCAAAAAACGAGTTTGACCCTTTCGTAATAACAGAGACAAAATGGAACGTTTATAAACAAGTGAGGTACGTAGTTTTTGAAAGGTATCAGATTAGTATAGATGTAGTTTTCATTAGGTATTAGATTAGTATAGAGGTCAAATAATTTATACGACGCTCATGTAAGATGGAAGTAGAGGCCATGGCACCATATCATGAGCATATTTTTATATTGAAACTATCATTGGGCACCAAAGATGTGTATACGACGCTATGAAAGTTCAGAGAACTGGAGATTTTTCCCACAAACTACGTACTTAGCCCACTCGACTGTCTTGGGTTTTCCACACAAACTACGTACCTAGCCCACTCGACTGCCAATAGGGACTAAAAAAACAAAAACAAAAGAAAGTTAAAACAATGCCAACATATTTCTTCTTTGTGGGAAATCAAGACAGTCGAGTGAGCTAGGTACGTAGTTTGTGGGAAAAAATCAAGACAGTCGAGTGTGCTTTTTTTACTTTCTTTCGTTTTTTTGTTTTGTTTTCTATTGGCAAGTGATTATCTAGGAACTTGTAAATTTTTTAGTTTTTTCATCGTATCTCCCGAACTATTGAATTCACAGAAAAATGTTATACGGATTATTTGTAGATTCTATCAAAAGGAATAAATTTGGTTTTATAACATTTTCAGATATTTTCAGTTGTTTTCGAGATATTTGGAATTATCTGAGAATAAAATTTTCAACACTCTTGTTCCATCTTCCAATCAACAGAAGGAAAAAATATTCCATGGTTCAGTGGAAGTCGATGAGCTTCATCTATCGATAATCTTTTGTTTTTCAATATATCTTCATGGTACCCTATGGGTCGTTAAAATTTTTTTTTTATATTTTTCACTTTATTTCCTGTACTATTGGGTTTACAAAAAAAAATATGGGTAATAATTTGTAGGAAATGTTCCAGCGGATAACTTTGCACTCCTGATAACTTTCGATTTTTCCATTTGTTTTCGATATATATTGAATTGAAAGGATTTCAAATTTTGATGTTCTGATTTTCATTTGTTTTTCCATTTTCCGATAGATGCCCGAAAAAATGGTGATATAATAATTTGTTGCGTCATCAAAGAGGCATACGGTGCATTTTTTAAATTTGGATTTAGTCTATTGGTTCAGGAGATATGTCGTTTTGAAGCGAACCGTGTTTTTCGGAAAATCTCTTTGAAAAACCCACTTGGAATTTTCCGACCCTGCTCAATTTCAATAGGCTTCGTCTTTCCCTGATAGAGTTTTTTTTCACAAAAAATGAAATCGATCAGACCACTTTTGCGATTTGTAGAGTGGTCACAAGAAACTTCCGGGGAACAATCGAAAAAACCCGGAAAAACCACCTTAGAGTTTTCCGATTTCCTTCATATTTTAATGACATAATATTGTTTTGAGTACAATAAGATGGCAAAATCTCAAGTCGATATGTCAAAGGGTTCCGGAGATATATCGATTTATGATTACCACAGAGTACAGACAGACAGACAGACCACACACAAAAACCAAAGTTGCTCAAAATTCGATGGGGATCATTTTCTCCAAAGTAACTATACCTCTATCTCGCTTAGTTTCCGAGATAGCATTTTTGGCAAGGCCATAGTATACTCCACTATGTATAGCGTCGTATAACAAGATATATTCCTAATATTATTTAGATTTTGAACAAAAAAAAAAAACTTCCAATGAATGTTTTCACAAATTCTGCAAGATAATCAATTTTATATTTGGCTTATTAACTTTTTTATTCCTAATATCACGGTTAGCGAATTTTATAGTATAATAAATACGAACTCTGGTAAACAGGAATAACAGATATTCCAATGAAAAATTTTCACATGGATGTGCAAATGGAATATTCTTTAATAAATCCCATGCTCTGGTTACTAATGCTAAATGAAGAAGTGAGCTGTCTTATTGGATTCCAATCGGTATACAAGATTACAAGTACACTGCCTTACCCAGAAGCCTCAAGTGAAGACTAACTGACTATTACGTATAATTGCCAATTTGAACTGACAATTTTATCTACTTATTCACTCCCAATGAAGTAATGAATACCAGGATAGCAAGAACTTTGGGAGTACAATATTTTCCAAAAATAATTTTTGGAAATCGGTAGACCCGTTATGAAAACATCTATGACTTGTCGTCACATAAAATGGAAGACACTGTAGGTATATTTTGAAAATCTATCCTCTCCAACGGCCTTCTAGAAATTTCGAAACTGATCAGTTCTTCAGTGATATCGTAATTGTACAACTTTACACCGTATGTACTGACGCAGTCGTATATTGTCTTCGATCGTTAGTGCCAATATGGCGGGAAATTTTAAACTGTGCTTTATTACCCACAGTTACCTTATAGGTATAATAATTGCTATTTTACATAATGGCAGTATTTACTTGGGGTTATGTTATCATAAGTTTGGACGTCCCTGGGATATCCTGTGTCGGGACATGGTACATACTATGGACGTCCCAGGGACATCCGCTTTCCATAAAAAGAGGCATCCTAGGGATGTCCTTCTGGTACGTCCCTGGGATGTACCAAGTACGAAGAAAGGATATCCCTAGGACCTCCCAAGGATATCCCAGGGACATCTCTTCGACAAAAGAAAAAATGTAGGTCGAGTACGGATTGAACCTGGGACCCTTGGCTTATCAGGCACGCATCTTACTCCATTGGCTATTGAGCCTCCTGAAGATTTATGTACTAAACAGATTTATAAACAGGACTTAACTACAGAAACCTGAATAAATACAACTTTGTAAGGATTTGGGTATAATTATTATATCATTCTTATTGGGTGTTCAAAAATGAGGGGCATTATGCATGTACGATTTCTATCTGCGGAAAATGGTAATTTCTTGAGAGGTTCTGTGACTTCATTCTTTATTTTCATTACAATCATTTTCCGGAAGAAAAAGAAACATTTTCAAAAAAATTCAACTCAATAGTTTGATGAAATTCAATGACTCTGATGTGAATGGATATCAGATATTCCAGGGACACGAATAGGATAACCTAGGGATGTACCGGGCGGGATGTCCACTGGAGAACCACTGCGCGACATCCACTGGATGCCCCAATCATGTCCTTGAACCGCGGGACAAAAAAGGGACGTACCTAGGACATCCCTGTGTTGTTAGGGACTGATTGATAGTGATGGCCATCATCATGAACTACCCAAAAATGCGGAAAGTCTGAAATGATAACCCGAGTGGAAACCCCAAAGTGCGTCACATTCTGGAATAACGATTGGTTATGGAAATTTGAATATTATTATTTTTTACCAATGAAATAGTCACAACAATATTCCTGGTATGGATAGAGGGGAAACTTCAAAGTCAGAGATTTGAAATAAATCAAAATATTTTCTGAAAATATATATTTTTTGAAATGAAAATACAACTTGATATTTTCTCAGAATGCAGCATCACACAATACCCTTCTAACTATAGTGAAGAAGAGGAGAATACATTTTCTGTTGGTCAACAGGTTTTCCCCTCAGGATTCTCTATTCATGTTAGGAGTATGTCTAGTTCTATTTTGACCACTACCTATAGCTTCAACTATACGAGGTGGAAATAAACGTCAAATTCGAAAGTTGTAGGTTTTCATCTTTTGGCACTCCCTTAATAAACAAATGCGAATCACAAAATGATGAATAAGGAGTCCAAATCAGTTTTATAAAACGGAACACTGTATATTCTCAACTGTTGTGAAATACATGTTTCTTCTGTTCACAAATATTTATACAGGGTGTTCCATTGGGAAAGGTAAATAATTCAACTGTGGATAGGGGTCACTGGGGTGATTTAAAAAACCCATGGTTAGTGGGACTTCGACTTCTTATAACCGAGATACAGGATGTTTAATCAATTTTGTCCATATCTTCATTGTCTCATAACTTTTCAACCAACCTGTATATATTTTTGAAAATTGGTACACTTGCTCAATCTACCCTGTGGAATTGATTGAGGCAACAACAAAAGATAAAATCCAGGTCCGGCTTCACTTAAAATTCACAAATTCTTTCTGCCAGAAAACAACACCCTATACATTCGAATTTCTCATTTCTTTTGCCATATCTGAAAAGAACATCAAAATTTCTATTCAACGATGTGCTTTTTATTCGTGCACAGACGAATTTAACTATTCATATTATGTGCTCAAAATATTATATTTGCTCATTTTGGAGTACAAAATTGGAATCAGACGAGATTTATTAATTTTATCACTTCCTATTCCAGTATACGAGTATTACATTCAGAAGGAGTATTTTATATCGTTCTTTGTTCCAGACTTAGTTGCAGGTCCGTCCTCAAAACTATACAGGGCTTTTCACGATGTGCGTTAATTTGACGTTTTCGGCAAACCAGGCAACGGATAAATCTGAAATTTCGATGGTATGTATAAATTAACATAATCCACACTACTAAAATATTTGAAACGATCCGACCTTGCCGCTTCTACTAGAAAGTAGCAGCAACTTCGATTTTTCAAATGGGACACCCTGTATTTCATTACATTCTTGGATTCTTGCTGAACAGCAGAATTCATCGATTCAAAACATTCAAGGTCTAGCGGGACTGATAACTGAAATATAGGATGTGGAAAATCGAGATGTTTCAGCTTTAGAAATGTTTTGTGTTGAAACTATTTATTATTGCATGGTCAAAACGGCTTCAATGTCCCTATCTCAACTTTCCATTCGATATTCGATTGAAACAGATACAGGGTGGTGCAGAAATCTGAATTATTAACCATCCTGTATTTGTTTCGACTAAATGTCAATAGATACAAAGTAAAGATAGGGACATAAAAGCCGTTTTGATCAATTATAAATATTTTCGCACAATAATTCTGAAGTTGAAACATCTCGATTTTTCTTACTCTAAATATCTCAGCTATTAGTCCCACTAGACCCGGAACTTTGTGAATCGATTAAATCAGCTCTTCAGGAAGCATCCAGGGTGTCCCATTTGAAAAGCCAAAGTTACTGCTACTTCCGAGTAGAAGCGGCAACGCCGGATTGTTTCAAATATTTCAGACGTGTAGATCATGTTAATTTATACATACCTTCGAATTTTTAGATATATCCGTTGCCTGGTTTGCCGAAAACGTCAAATTAACGATCATCGTGAAAAGCCCCGTATAGTTTTGATGACGGACCTGCAACTAAGACCCATCAACCATGGGTTTTTTGAAATCACCTCAGTGACCCCTATCCACAGTTGAATTATTTACCTTTCCCAATGAAACACCCTGTATATATTTTTTGCTAATGTTTTCTTGGGCCGTTTTCGAATGAATGCTTGCTGCACTACTGAAGTTTTAGCAATATTTTCGTAACATAACCTTACTATTTCGTATTTTTCCTCTTCGGAATAATCCATTTCACCTAATTGAAAAACTGGCAGAAATGTCAAAAAATGCTTGTTTGTTTCCATATGGCATTTCTGTAGTGTCCTCAGCCATCTAAATTTCATTGACAACTTTGATTCAAAGCTAAGAAATAAGTGAAAAATGGCTTTGGAAACATTGGCCAACGATATATATTTATTCTTAACAGATGAAAAATATATTTCACAACTGTTGAGATCAGTTTGCGATTCGCATCTGTTCGTTTGAGGAGTGCCAAAAGATAGTACAAATGAAATCCTAAAACTTTTCATATTTGGAGTTTTTTTCACCTTGTATAGTTAAAGCAATAGGTTGGGGTCAAAATATACGGAGACAACCTGTACAGTTCCTCATGACTTATATATTTATATTTATATATTATGTATAAGTATACCTGGTGAAAATAAATGAAAAAAACTAGGCTATTTGTAGCTATCCAACTCGAAAAATGACATATAAATAACATAGATGAAATTGAATATTTAAAATAAAATTCATGGCTCAAGAATTAAATGTATTCAATTATTGAGGTAAATATATCGAATGTTACTTCTTGTCTGATAGTTCCTCCATTTTTTTCCTGATAGCTGTGAAATTTGGGCGTTCTTTCGGTTTTCTATTTAACAAGTGATCTCTGCAGTAGGAGAACAGGGTTTCGGAACACAGGCTGGGTCTCATCAAACTTGAAAAAAAAATACATTTGTTATAGTAGGACGACACGGTATAAGAAATATTTTCCCCATTTGTTATTTAATGATGATAAATGATAAATATAAGATGATACCTACATATATATTATTGATAGGTTGCCTAGCCAAATCAAGTACCGATGATGTTAAATACCAATAATGTGGTCAATTACAATATTTTGATAAACTTTCCTCATTTTTTGTTATTTATAAAAGTCGAATGTTAGCTGAGTAAGTTGAAAAATATAGTTTTTCTCCGATTGGCAGCAAATATTGATTTTGCTGACACATATCAATCAGCAAAGTATTACTTTTCCTGACTAGGCAGCAAAGTGGTTACTTTGCTGATTGATATGTATCAGCAAAATTAATAATCCATAAATCGTTTATAATTTCCTTCATATTTCATCCGAGACTTCTCCGGCAACAAATTCAACTCTATATTTTTTGCAACCTCCCTTATTATATAAGTACTTCCAGGTCGCTATCACTGTCCATTATATAATAATTTAAATATACCGATATTTCTTCGCACAACTGTCAGAGATTTCATGAATTGTCAAACTATAATTATTATGGACATTTCCATAGCAACCAACCATTCCAAAAACTGCGATTTCTATCTAATTTTATTTTAATTACTACAGGAAAAATAAAGAGATATATCTCATTATGAACAATCGGAGAAAAAATTATATGTTCAAATCGGCAGCAAAGTAGATTGACTACTTTGCTGCCTAGTTAAACAAATAACTATTGCTTCTCGTTCCCAAGGCGCAGCTATGCATGTGGTTGCCAGGTATAAACAGGTAAGTTAGCGTAATTTATATACCATACCTTGAAATGGTAGTTGGGTTCCTAACGGTGCACAACCACCTCAATAGGCACCTAGAGCTTATTGGGATCAAAAATGATCCCCTGTGCAGATGGTGCCTGGAAGATGACGAAACGTCATCGCATGTCCTCATTGAGTGCCCAGCACTGACACATCAGAGGAGGGCTGTCCTTGGCTACATAATTTTGAGGTCAGAGGACGTGAAAGAGATTCAGCTAAGGAAGCTGCTTAACTTCTCCAAGGATGTCAGCATACCCAGCTGAATGTCGGAACATGTGGGTGCACAATGGGCCCGAATAAATAGGCCTACGTGCAAGGGTGTTCACCCGCCCACCAGTGCTTCGAAGAAGAAGAAGAATACCATATCTGTAGCTCCTTTAAGTGAAATACTCGTACAATAACCTCCTTGTTAGCGAAACATATAGTTTTTCTAATTTTCTGGTTCCCACGGAAAGGGGTATACTGTAATGTTCAGAGAACATCGTGAGAACCAAGCGAAATAAGGTAGGAATTGGTGTTCTTCTTAAATTTCTGGAGGTTATATGCCTCGGGGAACACCTCCCTTGGCAATGTGTTCCAGAGCCTCGCTGTTCGTTGGATAAACGAGTCTTTGGGAAGAGATGTTCTGCAGGTCTCCAAAGTGACCACGAAAGGGTGCGAAGCCTCAACTCGACGGGTTAATCTCGCGGGGACTGCCAATGGAGAAACAATTGTTGATAATTCACAAGAGCATATCGTCCATGAGAGTATCGATAGAATAAGGCCAGATCGCCAACTTGTCTACGGTGTCCCAGAGAAGTGAGTGAGTTCGTGAGCGAGGCATCACCCACGAGACGAATTGCCCTTTTTTGGACAGCATCCAACAGTTTCAGGGTATGTTTGGGTGCTGCACTGTGCCTTATAGATCATAACTAGCTAACTGGAAGTTAAATAACTCCTGGCCCGAAACAAGAAACCAAGTTTTTGGGATGCATTTTTAGCAATTGATCTCACGTGATTTTCCCATGAAAGGTTATTGATGATAGTAATACCAAGCATCGAAATATATGTCTTCAAAGGTATGGTTACTCCTGACATGCTTATTTTGGGCACAGTGAGATCGGTTTTCCTAGAGAGAAGGCAGGCTTGTGTTTTGTTTGCATTGAAATCTCCCAAGTTATCAGACCCCGATTCTAGAATTGTTGCCAAGTCCACATTTATGTTGTCAACATTTCTTCCTCGTTCGTTTCTGATTTGCCTGGCTGGTATTGGAGCCCTGGAAGGGAAGGCGGTATGGAGGGTACTATCATCCGCGAAGCTGTGTACTGGACATGAAGTTGCTTCCAACAAATCGTTGATATGGAGTAGAAAATAAATAGTGTTGGTGCTATAATTGATCCTTGCGGAACACCAGCATTTATGATAAGAGAGTCAGATGAAACTCTGTCGACCACTACATGGAGAGACCTGTTTGAGAGAAAACTATCTAGCAGAGAACATAGCTGGGAAGGCAAGCCATAAGATGGATGCTTGTCGAGGAGTCTGTGGTGCCAGACTCGATCGAATGCCTTGGATATATGAAGTGCCAATTTTATTTCGAAATTGTTATCATTCCTGAAATTCCCAATCATTTCTGAGTAAATTTGATCACTACAAAAAATTAAATTAAATTTTTGGATCAAATTTCAGAAATACAATTCATTGTTTATGAACTTCGTATTCGTATTTGGTATTTTGCAATTATAACTTCTCATTGTAGTAGGATTCTTGAGAACTTTACCACCCTGTATCTCAAAAGTTAGGACGTTGAGGTCATACGTTCATAAGAAACTTTCTTCTTACAATGGGCTCAAGAATGGCCTTCTCGAATATTGACATTCAATTATAAAACACCCTGTATACTTACACCTATTTTCATTCTGTCAGTATCTTTTGTATTTTTTTATCGTTTTACTTATTAAAAATTTCAACCAAATCGGTCAAGCCGTTTAGTAGTTGACGTGTATTTTTAAATAATCCAGGAAACCATCGAAAAACCCATATAAATTTTCAACCCAATCGGTTCACCCGTTTCTTGTTTAGAAGTTATGTGGAAAATATAAATACGGAAGGATAATTCTAACTACCCGTTGTCCAATTACCCGTTTTTCCGTAGTAATGAAGCATTTTCCTGCGGTAAAAAGTAGCCTATGTTCATCAAGGATAATGTCGGCTTCTAATGACAAAATACTTTTTCGAATCACTTCAGTACTTTTGGAGCTTATTCAATACAAACAATCAAATCTTTCCTCTTTATAATATTAGTAGTAGATATATGAGGGATAGATTGTAGATTTTAGGATTGTAGATGGGTCGTATAGGCTGGGAGACCTCCTGATCACTGCGACCTAGAAGATCTATTGTGATTCCCCTATCTAGTTTTGGTCCTCTAACCCTAGACTTCTGATGAAGCCTACGATTTTCCTGACGGTTGAATTGTCCACTTCAGCAGAGGTGAGATAGACCTGTTCTAGGTGGTTCAGCCTTTGGCGGACTAATACTTCACATGAGCAAAGTATGTGTTCCGCGGTTTCGGACGCATTGTTACAAAAGCGGCAAGCGTCAGTCTCCGCCAGGCCCATCTTTTTGAGGTGGTACCTCAGAGGGCCGTGTCCTGTGAGAAAGCCTGTGATAAGCTTTAGCTCTGGTTTGCTGAGGCTGAGTAGCTCTTTGGCTCGGTTCTGCGAATGGTTGATGAACCTTTTCGCTTATCGTTGACCTGGAGTTGCTCTCCAGTAGGAGGACTTTTCAATTTCTTCCCATTTCCTGAGTTCTCCCTTTAGGTGACATTTGCTCTCTCCACAAAAAGGCTCAGGACCAAAAAGGTCAGATGCTGAACCTTTTTTGGCAAGGCGATCAGCTGCCTCATTTCCTTTGATTCCTTCATGCCCTGGAACCCACATAAGTGTGACTTTGTTGTCCTTTCCCAGTTGCATGAGTGTTTCAAAGCAGTCCCATGTAATCTTTGATGTGAAAACGAATGATTTCAGGGCTTTTAGTGCTTTTATATGAGGGAACATTATCAAATTATTTAACATCATTGGCACTTGATTTAGCAACCTATTTGCAATGGATCAATTTATGTATTATCTAACGTTTATTCTCTATCATAATTAAATAACAGATGAGGGTATATATTTCTCATACCGTATCTTAGACTATGGTAGTCCTTTACTACAAGAACGAGCTCTGTCAACTTACTCGTCTTGGCCCGTTTGAAAAGCTTTGATATATAGCTGAACCATGAACCCAGGAATAAAGTTTATCGTCGTACTCCTACTTTTAATTGCTAATGAATTGAATATGAACCAAATTAATATTCCCATGGACCAGACATCGGATTCCATAGTAAACAATTGTGATGTCAGTGTTTCAGGTGATATGTTGTACCCTAGGTGTCTAAATTTCTAAAATAGAAAATATAAACTCAATTAATAAGTATTATAAGGTTGGGAAACTATCCGAAATTGGTGGCCTCGAAACCTTCTTGCCTAGTTGAATAGTCAAAAAACGTCAAAAACCCAGTGTCAGCCTAAATGGGCAAAAATATGTGTGAAATCTGAAACAACTCACCTTTTCTTCAAATACACCATTCGAATCTCCAACAAAAACACAGGAACCAAAATCCCCAATTTTGCATCTTTTATTATCATCTATGAATATGTTCTGGCTCGCCAAATCTCTGTGAAGAAAACGTTTACCATGAATGTATTCCATGCCTGAGGCGACGTCGATCAATATTCTTCCAATATTTTGGATAGTTAAGTGGTGTCCCTGCAAAATTTTTATCATGCAATTTTTATTAGTTTCAGTTCATGCCTGATGGTATAATAGCCGATAATACCTCTAGGATGATTATTTTACAATTGATTGTATAGAAAGACATAAATGATAGTAGGTAGCTCAGGTCATACCGAAGTCAAATAATGCTCTAATAGGTAATATATCCATGAAGAATTAAAGGGAACGAATTCAACAGCACCTATTTTACAGGATGTCTGAAAATTTATAATTAAAAGGTTTATTATCAAACCATCAATCAATTATTGTAATTTCACTGTATAGGTACTCCAACGAACATTTGCGTATATGCCATATGGATAATTCAGGTGGCAAGTATGTACCATAGATTGAAGGGCTTGTAAAAAAAGCTGAAGATAGTTCGAATGGATTTTGTCGGAAAATTTCCATCTACCGAAATTTGTGTCGACACGAAACTCAAAACAGTTCTCTATTAAAACTTTACACAGGGTGAGTAGACCAATGGTTCAGTTTTTTTTAATAATAAAATCAAATCCAAATATCGATAAAAGTAAAACACGTTTTCAAATTCCTATCGAAGCATAAACTTTTTTTGATAACCTGGCTGATATAGTGAAAATAATTATACGGGTGAGTCAATAGTGTGTTCTCCTTCGATATTAGCCAAACCGTCAGGTATATACAAAAAAATCGAATACAACAGATATAGAATTTTATGAGAGCTATCACCCAAAATTATTTTCATATCTATAGGATGTTCGAATTCCAAGATATCGGCTGATGATGGGTGTTTTTAAATGGGATACCCTGTATATTATTGCATTTTAAATTTTTCCTGAAGAGCTGATTTCATCAATGCATTACACCTGGGGTCTGGCGGAAATGATTACAGAGATATATGGTGTTCAGAATCGAAAATTTTCAAATTTGGGATTTTTTTGTGTCCGAACTATTCATTATTGGTCGAAACGGCTTACATGTCCCTATCTCAACGTTTGATTCACTAACGACTGAAATTTAATTGGAATAGATACAGGGTGATCAGAAATCTTGAATTTTGAACCACCCTGTATTTGTTCCAGTTAACTGTCAGTAGATGGTGAATTAAAAGTTGAGATAGGGACATGTAAGCCGTTTCGACCAATAATAAATAGTTTTAACACAAAACAATTACGAAGTTGAAAAATATAAGATTTTGAACACCCTATATCTCTATAAACATTTCAGCTAGTCCCCAAGTGCGATACATTAATGAAATCAGCTCTTAAGGGAGAATCTAAAAATGTGATAATATACAGGGTGTCTCATTTGAAAACACCTATCATCAACCGATATTTTGGAATCCGAACACCCTATAGATATGTGAATAATTTTAGGTGATAGTTCCAAAGAAACCCTATACCTATTGTATTCGAATTTTTTCTATATAGCTGACGGTTTGGCTAATGTAGAAGGAGAACACACTATTGACTCACCCTGTACTATTAACCTACCTCCAATGCATCATTGAGATCTCCCAGTCTCATTAGCTCTAAAACTATTTCTGGCTTATCTCTATTAATGGCTAGGATCTTGAGTATGTTCTCATGTTCAAACTGAGACATGGCCCAAGCTTCACGATCAATAAGCTCACTAAACGATCTTTTTGTGATTGTCTTCACGGCTACAACTTGCTTTCGACCATCTTTCTCGAGAATACCTCGAAAGACAATTCCAAAGAAGCCCTCGCCTTGAAAAAGATATTTTGATGAAAAATATGTACAAGTTTACAAGTAAAGGGTGCCCTAAGTTAAGTGCGCACTATTATTTTATGGTATAGGGCATGCTCAGGGGATCTGATCGAATGACTTCTTAGTAATAATGGATGCCACCCAGATAGCACACAATCAAACAAACACCTGGAGAGGACGTTCTATTTTCTACAACCTAAGGACATTATCAGGCGTTAGATTTAGCTCCATTATTGTCCTAGATAAGTTCTAAGGAACGAAGGTAAGTAAATGAAAGCATTCATATTGCTGGACATGAAATATTGATATCATGCTCAAAAAATGTTTGAACTATATTGGAACATTAGTGGGAGCTGGTGATTTCACAATGACAATAGCTAGGGATAATTGCTATTTATATCTCAAGGGAAGAAAGGTATCCATTACCTCCCGCGTGTGAAGTTTGATGCACGAGGCGCAGCGGAGGGCATCAAACAAACATGGGTGGAAATGAATCTTTGCTCCCATGTTACATATATATGATTTTATCAACGAATGCATTCTTTTAAAGCATCATTCTTGACGTTGTGCTTCAGGCGGTGTATCTCTCCATCCAAATGACGGCATTTGAACGGAAGTCGATTCAACACTTCTATCATCATGAATTAATTGATTTGTATATTGTGTTACTGCATCTGAAAGTTTTGACTAGGAGTACGTTCAGTATATGAAGAATCGTATGACATGACATCATTGGGATTCAAGAAATATGTAATTACTTGTTTTAAAATAGTGATGAGACACTGATTATAGTACGATAGTTTCATTGTCATTGCTAGTGTCACCAGTGGGATAAAATCGCCGTTTCATTGACTATATTCTGTGGAATTTCATATTACTGGTCATTTGGCCTAAGAACATCAATGTGTGATGGAATGTTTGGGAAAAAAATAGTAGATACGGAATAGGGAATAGGTAGGTACTTTTACTGACGGAAAAGATGAGCCAACAAAAGTGGAAACATTCAGGAGTCATTCTGAAATGGCTCTGAAAGAATTGCATCTCGGTATAACAATCTCATGAACATTTTCACTTTCGGGGACTTCTTCATTACACATTCTAAAAAAGGTCAGTATGAAACCGTCATCATCCTGGATTATCCATGTTATCTAACGAATCCATAATTTCATGAAGAATGGCGCTAGGTATTATCTTCTCCAACAAATATAAGTATTCACTTTTGATTTCCATATTTAATATGGAACTTACTGTATGATTCACTACAATAATTTCCATTATGTACTATCAAAATCTGATAATATCGAAAAAAACCAATTTCTAGGGAATGATTATTGATGAGTCATAATAGAAATAACCACATACCTACCCCACAGTCCGCACGTACCAAATTTATTATTCAAGTATCATCACTCCAATCGATCCAATCCAACGATCCAAACATTTGTATAATCTAAACTTTGATGTTTTTTATTGATGATTAGATAGAATAGATTTTGATTGTTTGTGGTTTTCACACGGTTGTCATCACATCGATGTCATTCTTCATTATTTGCCGTCTATTCGTTCCTACACAATTCCTGCCACCAGAGAATCACAAAAAAAAGCGACTATACAGGGTGATCAACTTATACTCCGGAGTTCGATAACCCTATTGTCTTGAGAGATACGAAAAAAAGTTCAATATCTAAATTGAAGTAATAAGCGTGCTCCAAGTTCCAAAATTATTTTGAATCATACAGGGTGTTTCATAAGAGTACAGCATATCAAATATATGTTTTTTTCAATGGAACACCCTATATATTATCTTGAATTTGAATTCTAATCATTTTTCCCATTCTGGAAATATAGGGTTTTACTAGATTCTACAGAGTACTTTGGGAGGTATGGCCACCTTTATGTGAAAGTCTCAACGAAATCGTCGCCCTGTATTGATCAGAACTAACAACTGAGGGTTCGGCCTTTATTGTCAAAAGGATTTGATAATGGTCTAGTTTCGTTTCAACCCATCAATACATCATACAAAAATACGTAGGTACCAGATCAGTTTTACCGAGTTTTTTTACGCCTATATCAACTGATAGAAATAGTACGCACTCGACTTTGAGAACATTTGCAAATAATAAGGTACCTACTCACCCAAAATTTCCTTGCGTTCGATGGCTTCATCATCTACATACAAATTATACATTTGTTTGGAAGTGGAAATAGCTGAAACATTCGTGAGCACTAAATATTGATAACAAGGATAGCACCGCCTCAAAATCTCAAAATATTTCATTTCTATTCATTTAAGTATATCATTTCATAAATAAAATATCTATACCTAATTTGGCTAGACGCACTCACCTTTGACTTTATTTTGTATGAAAGTCAGTTCCTGCATATTCGATTCTGATAAAATCACTAACATGGTATTGATCAAATCATATTTGATTTTCCTGAAATAAAATGAGTAATGAGCATGGCTGTGGAAAGTAAATGGTCATAAAATATTCGATGAAGTTACTGCAGATAAACATTGCATATGAATCTTTGAAAACGAATTGGAAATTAAGATGAATATGAAAATCGCATATTTTTCCTTAGTTTTTTATCCAGATTTTGACCATTTCGACCAATATATATAATCTAACAATAATACAGTGCAATTTTCTTGTTTTGATCTTTACATGGCGACTCTGAGGTTCATTTTCTGTTCATATTTCATTTTCGAATCGAATTTTGATATTCTCCAACAAATAACGCAGTTTCTTTCGTGTATCTCCGAAACTATTCGGAATTCAATAATTTTCTCATTGCCCTAAGTTACCATCTTCGTTTCTCCCATGGACCTATAAACAAAGATTATACGTCCATGGTATCTCCTATTGCTTCCGAAATCCCATTAGTGGCCCTTGAATCTATTTTTCATCAACACATCAACAGGTAATAAAGACATTCATTATTATTATTATTATTATCATTATCATTATTACCCGGGTATGAGAAGAATTATGAAATTCTGTGATAATTCATTTTATCTTCCGATAGTTCGTGTTTTTGCTAAGAAGTATGTCTGTTCAAAGAGAATTGAATTATTATGAATAGTATGATATCGGCTTCGTTATGTTTCCCATCTTTCGTTATTTCAGTTTTATTTCAATGATTCTGTATGTGCGACCTTTCCAGTGAGTTAATAAAATTCTACATAATATTAGTCTTATTTTTCTCAATGCTATCATCAGATTATTCATTTGATAGGTCAAACATTTCCAAGATGAACTCAATCTTAATTTCTTTTCTTCTCTTTCAATTTTGTCATAAGTTACTCATGATAGTGGTATATACATATAAAGAATAACCAGAATCTTCCTCCAAATTGCATTCCAGGTATACCAGGTATACGGAATGAATAATATTTGTATATACATATATGTATAGCCTGAATGTCTATATCTGAATTGGTATCCGTAATTAGTTCATACTCACTTGGAAGCCGTATCTTTCGTATCTGTTACACACATAATGTTTTTCATAATATCCAGAAATGTATTGTTTTCAACTCGAAATTTATTAACAATTTTCATGAGTAGCACCAAACAATCTGTAGTTTCATGTTCCTTCGTTTTATTATTTTCTTCATTCTTGTTCGTTTCAGTCTTATTCACTTCATTTATTGTGATCTTATTCTTGGAATCATCACCAGCTGAAACAGCTGAAAGTGTAAAAAGTATATCATTATTATGTTTTGTCACGCACGGTATGTCATGGTATGTCTAAGTTCAGTTAGAGATAGTCCGACTCGGTTCAGGTTTTCTCAGCTGCACTTTCCATTTAAATGCATGTTTTACTATTATTTTCATTGAAAGAATACAAAAACTTCAGTTCTATTGAATTTGAGATGCAATTTTACAACTATTTCGAAAATTAAAATTGGTAGATATTTTTGATACTACCCTGTTAACGAATCGGTGTGAATATAAAATATGTGATTAAAAACCTAGTTCACTATTTTTTGACTCAGTAGAGAAATTTTGATGAGGCATTTAAACAAAAATGTTGTTTTTCAAATTCCGAATCAAGTAGGTATACCTACGGACATGTATGTATAAATGGTTTTGTTGCTATTGTCTCTACAATAAACCCAATCAAAAGTTACTATATTTATTCATTTCACAATTTTCGACAATGACCGACATTATATTCCTTTTTCGGAACATAGCGATTTTCATCACGTTCAAACATATTCTTCTTCATCCCAGGACAATCTGGACATATTTTTTATCGCACCTTGTATATCCATCGTCAAGAATAAATATGAATTTTATACTTCTGGAACTACAATCGTAATTTTTTGAATTTTATAATTTATATTAACGAAAATGCATCATTTCGATTAAAAATGCGCACTTTCATTATATGACCTTCGATCCAAGAAATTACAAAACCATTTCGAGGTCAGACACCAGACACCGTCATGACGAAGTAACACTTCATTATTCCACTAGTTACACAGAGAAAATTATGTTTCATCTACTGAAGACTACGTTATTCTCCATTCCATCATTCAGTATTTCTTGTATCACTTTGTATAGACTTTTCCAGAACTTTCTGTGTTCGAACACGATCACATATCCGACGACTATACATACAACATTGATTCTTCGGAATAGAATTCCAACTTTCAATTTCATTCAATTAATCGTCGAAAAAATGCAACATTCTGAATGAATATTCATAACACGATTATCAAAGCTCTGAATTTGAAAATTCCGAAAATGTTTCGAGAGAAAGCATCAATCAAGAGGATACAGTTGAGAAAATTTTTTTTTTCTACAAGCGTGCGTGATTCACCCTATACCCGCACGCAATTTAGTTTGGGAAGTGTCATTTTCCCGCAACAGTTCGGGAAAATTTTCCCACACTAGTGCGGGAAAACAAAGATATGATAAAATCGCTAGTAATATAAATGGTTGGTGATGGAATATAAAAGTTTAAGTTTGTTTGTTGCAGTATTAAGTATGTATGTTCAGAATCATCCATCAAATTGCACTATTTATTGAAAAAATTAAGAAATATTGAGAAATAAAAATTGATTATTATAAAAATCCCCCTATAGATTTGGATTTATCTGACGGGAAACGTCAATTTGTCATGCCAATCAAACCTCAAAGTTTGAATTTGTCGAAGTGACAGACACAGCGTTACTGTCATTTTCGATTCAGTGGAAATGCCACAATGTGATCAGAAACTACTAGCTATAGGGATTTGATACAGATGCGTTATCACCAACGAAGTCTTAAGAAAGGTATGAGAAGCTATACACGCGTTTTATTGAATGGTGCAACAATAAAGAAATGAAAAAACCGAATGAAGAATAGGTATTTTTGGCTCATTTCATAGAAGTGTCTGGAACCTAGAGACCAAACTCCTAATGGGCCTGCTGGCTTCCGCAATGAACCAACATAATGCGTCAAACTGTAAGTTCACAATAGCTATTACTAATAATTAATAAATAGAGAATATATATCTCTTGTTAGTTGTTCCTATTTGCTTGAATAATTAATTGAACGATTCAATCAATTTCCTATACGCTTGTAGAAAAAATATTGTTCCTAACTCATGCGGAAAGTTTCTTTCCGCACTTGTTAGGAAAATTACTATTAAAAATTATCTGTTCAAACGGTAAGGTGACGACCACGATGCAATTTTACACCCATTCAATTATCACCTTGTAGCAATGTCATCTGAAATTACAGAAGTTTCATATTGCCACAGCAAACTGTCAAGAGATTAGGCTATTCTTTTTTGAATTCAGGCTATATTTTGGAGCACGACGTTATCAATGTTGACCAGTTTACCAAAATCTCAATTTTGATATAAAAAGCAGATAGAACCTTATTATTCTAGAGCGACGAAATACGTTGAGAGGTTTGGGCTTATTCAGTTCCTGTTGGTTCGAAAACAAAAAAAGTTGTGAATGTTCAGGTACCTACTTTGAGTACTTTGAATATCCATTTCGTTGGATTCTGTGATCAAATGATCGTCAACACAGCCTCCTGTTGATTGTCTTGGTTTGCCCAAGTTACGTCGTGTTACTTTCTGCAATGAGAAAATTTCGAATATTCAAATTATTGTCTATTGATTTGATAAGCACTATAGATGCATTGAGATAAAATGGGTGTGAAAATAATCCTATCTGCTGTTTAGAGTTCATTGATAAATTTCTATAAACAATTATGATGAGTAATAAGGTATCTAATATTAGCTATGCTGTACCTGATGTTATCAATTCTGGAAGTATTTTATGCGTGTATGCATTTTCTGCAATATGCTTGTGTTGAGGGAATTAAATTGATGTGTACCTACCAAGGACATAAATTTCTCATAAAACACACGAATTTTTGAAAAGGCTGATAATCACCATAAACACTGTTCCCAAGATAGGGAGAGCCAATGTATACTCAGAAACTTCGAAAGATTAAGATTTGGTTGGATGGGAGAAAAGTTGCGCGAATGAAGGACCAACAAAATAACTTTAAAGAATCTCAGATATGACCTCCCTAACAACACGAGTACGTCCCAGGGACGTCCTTCATTTTCTACGAGGACGTCCCTGGGATATCCTGTGTCGGGACATGGTACATACTAGGGACGTCCAAGGGACATCCGCTTTCCACAAAAAGAGGCACCCTAGGGATGTCCTTCTTTTACGTCCCTGGGATGTACCAAGTACGAAGAAAGGATATCCCTAGGACGTCCCAAGGATATCCCAGGGATATACCTTCGACAAAAGAAAAACAAAATTTAGGTCGAGTACGGATTGAACCCGGGACCTTTGGCTTATCAGGCACGCATCTTACTCCATTGGCTATTGAGCCTCCTAAAGATTTATGTACTAAACAGATTTATAAACAGGACTCAACTACAGAAACCTGAGGGGCATTATGCATGTACGATTTCTGTTTGCGAAAAATGGTAATTTCTTAAGAAGTTCTGAAACTTTATTCTTTATTTTCGTTACGATTATTTTCCGGAAGAAAAACAAACATTTCCAAAAAAATGCAACTTAATACTTTGATGAAATCGAGGGGTTCGTCAATCCTAAAAATCGTGTACACCATTGCCCCATTGCTGAAACATTGCCACGAACTGCCGACCACTGCCTATCATTACCCACCACTGCCCATCATTGCCGACCACTGCCCATCATTGCCGACCACTGCCCAAGATTGCCGATCACTGCCTAGTACTGCCGACCACTGCCTATCATTTCCGACCACTGCCTCAGCATTGCCGATCACTGCCTCACCATTGCCGATCACTGCCGTCCTCTGCCTATAACATTTGCCGTCTTAGTAGAGTGCCAATCGAATCCTATCGTTCACCCCATGGGAAATCGGAGGTAAAAAGCTGTGACATGGCTAGAATTGTTACCTACCATCTCCAGATCATGGATCTACTTGTCGTCAAAAAATCGTCCTGTGCGTTTGGGGGGTAGGGGGTAATTTATAAAAAAATATGGATTTTTTTTTTATTCGTGGAAAATATTGAGGGGTTTCAGAACTTTCACCCTGTTGAATCTTGATTTCGTGTGACAAGTAGAACAAATTATAGAAAATATTGAAATTCACCAATTACATTAGGATATATGAGAAAATCATATTTCAAACGGCTATAACTCGAAACTTGTAAATTTTCGTTAAATTGCTTTTCATATACCTCGCATTATCTCAGTAACTACAACGTTTATCAAAAAAATACTTCAAGTAATGTCGATGCGCCTATGTTTCAAGATGCGAATGGTTCTTCGATTTTGAAAATCGAAGCATAAATAAGGAAGATATTGAGAAAATCATAATGCAATGCAGGTACCACGGACGAACGCGTTTCGCCGCATTCGTACCCCTATTCTCCCCGCAATACCCGCGGCTATCATGGTTCCATATACGCTTTCGTTATCAACATTGAGGCGTTGACCATTGCATTTAATGGTGACTTATTGTGAATCAATTATTCGATATTTGGTACTGTGTGCTCTGTTTCAATAATTAAATAAGTATTGATTAGCTAGCTTTATCATAAAATATATGTTTCTCCAGATAAAAGATGGAAAGTACTAGCAATTCAGACACTGATCTTGAATATGTCTTGAAGTTGAAGATTCCTTTCCAGCAGAGTACAGAATCATCGAGAAAATGTTTTATTGTGGAAAAAATGGTCAACTCCTTCGTTGTACAGAATTATCGATAAAAACATTCGAAAGTTGTATGAATATAAGAACAAACCTCGGGAAAAACTATGCGAGGCAAATCGATATGGAACTTCAGAGAATTGATGATATTTTCAATGAAAATAAAGGTCAATCGATCTTCTGGCACAGGAATATTGAAAACTGGAGACAATAATGTCAGGAATAAAACGCTTTCTATAGTGAAATTGATGTGAAGGTGTTTTTGATGTGTCTAAAAGAATTTTTTACCAAAAACGTTCAAATAAGAGTCAAGTTTCGACCTAGTATTGACTACCAACATTGTTTATTGCCATGGAAGTCAAGTATCATAACCAATGCTTCGTATCGAATTGGAAACATTATAGAGGATCACCTCGAGGATCACTGAGTGAGAATAAAGTTGTCATACCACACAATCATGACAAATAATTTGATAATCTGATAAAATTAATAGATGGTGCAGATTTTCTAATGGGTATACTTTCAACTGTTTATATCAAAAATATGCCAAACTTGGTGGCAAAACTGGTAGGAAAATTTTAATCGAAGATTACTGTCTGTAGGTTAATCGAGAAGGTGAAACATTAATTTTACTTGATTTTTTGGGATTTCCTCTCCTCGTTTCTTTGGACGTTTCGGCAACGAATCTGCTCCCGTTCTCAACATGAAAATGCAACTTCCAAAGAAAAATGTTTTGCATTCTTATGTTGAGAACGGGAGCAGATTCGTTCCCGAAACGTCCAGAGAAACGAGGAGAGAAAATCTCGAGAAATGAATTTATTGAAGAAATCAAGAAGCACTACGACAAGGAAATAGAAATTATCAAATAAATCAAAACGTTCTAATGAGTCGTAATTTGTGATTCCAAAAGTGACAAAAACTCATCTGATTCATACACATATAAAGAACAAAGTGAAATTACAGAAGATAACTCCCCTAACTTTGTATGCATCAGATATTATGACCCAGATACACAATTTTTTCCGAGATATTTATCAAGATATGAGAGATATTCCCTCGGATATTCCAGACTATAAACAACTCAAAAATATGGATCTCAAGGCTTACAAGGATATGATACCAAAAAACTTCTTTTAAATTAGTTGCCTTATACACGATAAAGTTGATTCAGTTGATTCAAAGGTGTTGAGTATCTGATGTCAAGGTATAATACTCGCTAATTCGAAATTCAAAAAACTCCCACCGAAACACGTTGGTTTGGGAATAATGATTCATCAAGAGACATGATCGAGAAAAATTATCGTAGCTTTGTGTTCTTGTGGACACTGTATCGTATTTACGTGTATTTACAACTTCGCAATTCGATAGGTATCAAATAATGTTTTTTTCAAGTTTCCACAAGGATATCTTATTTTTATTTCAATATTATATGCATCATGTTTTGTTTCAATATTTTTGTCAATTTGTTTATAAATGAGATGGTTGACATTATATACTCTGATGGATAAGAAATGTACTTTCGAGATAGAATCATTCATAAAATAAATGGAGGGCACTTCCAATCAAACAGCAAGTTAAAATAAATTTCTGTTAACTTTGAAAATAGCGATCAATTCCATTTCTCTTTCTCCCGTGAATTCCAAGATCGTAATATTCTGTAACACTCAGTAATTCATATTTACGGTGATCGTACTAGGACGGCTGCGGGCGTTGCGGGGTGAATCGGGGTATGAAAGCGGCGAGTCGCCGTCCTTCGTACTACCTGCATTGTATTATGATTTTCCCAATATCTTCCTCATTTATGCTTCGATTTTCAAAATCGAAGAATCATTCGCATCTTGAAACATAGGCGCATCGACATTATTTCGAGTATTTTTTCGATAAACGTTATAGTTACTGAGATAATTCGAGGTATATGAAAAGCAATTTAACGAAAATTTACAAGTTTCGAGTCATAGCCGTTTGAAATATATCGTAATGTAATTGGTGAATTTCAAAATTTTCTATAATTTGTTTTACTTGTCACACGAAATCAAGATTCGACAGGGTTGAAGTTCTGGAACCCGTCAATATTTTCCAAGAATAAAAAAAAAATCCATATTTTTTTATAAATTACCCCCTACCCCCCAAACGCACAGGACGATTTTTTGACGACAAGTGGATCCATGATCTGGAGATGGTAGGTAACAATTCTAGCCATGTCACAGCTTTTTACCTCCGATTTCCCACCAACTTTTGATCTAAGCGACTTACGGTTCGTTTGGCACTCTACTATAATAATAGGTACTCGCCCTTGCCCAAAGCAGACGGTAACTCGGAAATAAACAACGTTGGAACTTTTCGCGCGTTTCCAGATTCCAGCAGATCATAGACGGCGTCAATTACAATGAAAGCAAGTATCTTCCGCCCGCGCTTTTCGTGGTACGAAATTGAGTTTTTCCAATGACAGAAAATAGCTGAAGGTTCTAATCTTAGTTATCTGGGATTCTCGGAAAGTGTTTTTCCGAAAACGCTCACTGATTTTTTGAAAAATCCGAGGAAAAATCGATTCATTTTGGGTAAATTAATAAGTGTATTCGAAATGATTTGGGAATAGCTCTGGTAAATTATTTGAAATCCACTTTCAGAAAAACATCCGTTCATAGTCTATCTCGTATTCTATAAACATCGTCTCGAACATCGTAGTTTTTTTCTTACACAAAAAAATAATTTTTGGTGGGTGAAAAGTAGGGCAGAATCTTGGGGCGAATAATACTAGTTTTCACTGTTTGTATGGAGAAAACTTTTGATTCCTTCGGGTAAGGCGAGGGGTAAGGAATATGACGGAATCTTTGAAGTTAATTTTCATCCACTTCCAGACATTCCAGAATTTTTGTCTGTTTTAAAATCCTTGATCTCCCGCTGGTGA